AAGATAAATTGCATTACGCTTCAATTACATCACTCAGATAAACAATTAACCATTAGAGAATTTAACAAGAATTGCAACCAGAGGGATGTCAATAGTAATAGTTATAATAACAATAATAACAATAGTGTTGAAGTGAGTTAAGATAATGCTACTGATAAAGGATTGTTTTAAATAAATCAAGAATAATAATAATAAGTGAAACGTGTTATTATGGTAGATTCAGAGTCACGACCATTTCCTTTTGTATACAGAGATCTGGTTTATAAACTCGAATTGCACAAGCCTCTGCAATTGCAAGCATCTTCTTGTTTCTTTATCTACTGACAATAGTGAATGACTTGACCGCATCGATATCATGTCCGTAGTCCACAAGATGTTTTGTTATTGAGGATTTTGACACTTTGAACTCAGCTGTTTTCAGCCACTTAGGCAAATGCTCCATCATGCGAGTAGACAATCGCCTTTCTGTACGATCTATGTATTCGCTTCCACAAACACACTCAAATTGATATACGCAGTTTGAAGTGTCGAGGATTGGCGACTGGTCTTTCCCAGATTGTTGAAGCACTCGCTTAGTGGTGTTAAGGAAAACAAGTTTTGCAGCATAATAAGTTCTCTTGATAGCTTTATCGAGTCTTCATTTGACTACTTCCTGTACATCATCTCCTTTGAACGGCAAACTGATATAGACAGATTTCTTCGGAAATGTTTGAATTGTTTTGCAGGGGCTAATTTCTTTAGAGTATTTATTAATGAACTTCTCAGAATATCTATTCTTAGATAAAATATCCTTCAGAGATTTTATTTCATGCTCAATAGTACTGTCAGAACAAATTTTTCGTGCTCTATTGAACAGTGTTCTAACTAAGTTCTTTTTATACTGGATTGGAACAAAGCTCTTAAAGAGCTGTAATTCTAAAAAGTGATTCTGCGTTGATGGAAGGAGAGGTTGATCACTGTATCTTTGTTCATCGAATCCACATGAAATACTTGCAATGGGAATGAAGGAACACCAATGCTGGAGATATGGAAAATATTACTACCAATAAAATCGAAGGAGAAGAAATAATGGAATTATATACACGAAGTTTTAAAGTTATGTGACTGTCATTGGTATGATAATGAGCACTAAATTGTGCTTGAAACGTTGTCATCAGTAAATAATACAGTATCACTGCGTAATTTTTACTAAATAAAATTATTATATAATGGAATTAAACTCTACTACAGTGTCCATGTTTTATTCTTATATTAATGAATATCTTCGGGTAACTCTAAAATATGGTGACCCAAGTAAATGGATGTAATAACCTTGATCAACCTTGGTACGTCGGTGGCACAGTGGTAGAGTGCTCGCCGACCACGCCTCACTTGGTCTGGGGTTCGATCTGCGGCCACCTACGCACTCCTTTGCCTCGCTAAGCCAGAAGTAAAACTGACAAAGAGGAAAGGTTGCACATGAGGCTAGCAACCCCATCCTGTAAAAAGAATCACCACCGCTACAGAATCTTCAAGCCTCTAGCTTGAAGCTGTATGTTCCATTGGGAATGTTGAGGAATAAAAAAACCTCGATCAACCAATCAGATGAGCCTGTAGTAAATACGCGTAATTTAAAAAATGCTTTGTATAGACATCAAAGTTAGTGTTAAAAAATAGTTATACGGGGTAACTTTCTTGTATGTCTCCAAAGAAAACCTCCTAATTCCTTATTGAAGTAATCATTAACAGTCGAAATCTATTTCTGTACATAAATTCATCCAGATAACTGTATATCATGCTGTTTCTTGATCCATTTTTACTTCTCTACATCACCTATGAACCCAAAAAAGGAGCATCATGTCTTCTTGGACATCGTTTTTGTAACAATAGCCTGGACACCTGTACAAATATCCATCGATAGCGGCTGCATACCTCTGTATAAAGGCACTACTTCTCCACACTTACAAGCTTCTTATAAGCCTATTATCCCAACAGTACTCCAATATGACCTCTTAATGGAATTCATAACGTAACTCATGTACTGACTGCATCTATATTTCCGCATTTTTACCATGGCCTCATCTGATTGGTTGATCAAGGTTATTATTTCTGTTTATTTGGATCGCTATAGTTTAGAGTAATCTGTCTTCATTTCAATTCTCAAACTGATCATAAGTGTATATACACTAGTGTGGTGAGATCTATCTGCTTGCTGAAATCAGTAGACACCAATTTACGTCAATGTTTACGTCCCAAACCTTGGTCATGAGGAAAACAAGAAGAAAGACTTTGCGTGGGCGGATACGATTAGCATATATATGGTCTGACCTTCAAAGAAATGGTCACAAAGAGATGACAGAATAACCTTCAGCAGGAAAACAACCGATCAGAAGTCATTGCTTCTCAGCTAACAATAACGAATAATAATGTACATAAATATCTATAAATCTGTGTTGATTTTCTCAATAAACGATCTGTTGCCTGACCCTTGTCTTCTGTCATTACACTAGTAGTCTAAAGTTGGAACAAAACAGGTGATGAGTACTCACTTACCTTCCAGTGGTTAGGTAAATGATATCAGTTACTGATGAATATTGTCCTCAAGTCAACTAATTAACATTAATTCATTTAGCTAAATGATTTTGAAAAAATTCCACTTTCTATGGAAACATGAATCTATTTATTTCTTCAGAAGATGGTACTGAGTTTTCGAAAGTAAGTGAATGCTTGAATATTTACTCTGAACTATCAATATCATCTTCTTAAGTAAACTAATGTTGAACTCAAGTTAGTCTACTGATGGCTCCTAATAAATAAGATTATTTAAAAGCCCCACATGTTTCCTATATAACATACTGTAAAATTACCAGCACTATTGGTGAATGATTGTCAAATTATAACAATCAATATAATGAAGTGGAATGATCAGGATTTTGTAAATACGATAGCAAGTTAGAAAAGCACTACTTAAACCTAAGGTAATAAAATCATAAGAAAGGTCATGAAATCATAAAAGTCGAAAATGAACGTTTGTCAATGAAACAGAGGAATAGAAGAAGAAGAAGAAGAAGAAAAGAAAAGAAAATTGTGAAAGGAATTTATAGTGTTAATGTTTATGGAGGATTTGTTGGCTTTATTGTAGGCCAAGGTAAACATAGTGGTTGAACATACTTCTTCTGTATGCAAAGAGATAGTCTTCTGGTATTAATTGCAACTGCTTCAGCTACTGATAGAAGACGCAGTCGAGCTCCGCTAGATAAATTACTAGGAACGCGGTAAATAACTGAGAACGTCTGGTCAAGTTTTATCGGGTGTCCAATATCTACCAAGTGAGCTAAGACTGCACTATTTACGCTTTTGGTTACTTTCTTTACTCAACCATACAGGAACATATTCACGTGCGCGCATGGATAAAGCCCTCTGAGTACGGCCAATGTAACTAGCTCCGCATGAGCCTTTACTGGCTTTTGTATACTTAAATTATTGGATTTATAATTGTAGAGCTTGAAGAAGAATTTATTGAAAACAATTGTTCGCTCTAAATATTTTGTTCTGAATAAGTTATGACAATATTCAATTTAGTTACAAAGTTACTTGGAACACCCAAATAAGTACAAATATTGCGATTAGATCGTTGACGAGGGATTCCCGAAGCAGTTATTCTGTTACGCCATGAAATTCGCTACATCTGTATTCCGGAGGAAGTATTTATGGCTCATTACATAACCCTACTTCAGAATCAGTCACTGTACTACCAATATTTTCCACAAAAAAAACAGAATTCAAGCATTAAAAGTCAAGAATATCAAGCTGGCTGCCTACTATCTCCAATGATATTCTTGATTGCGGTAGACTGGATAATGCGACAGACAGCGGGGCAGCTAGGAAACAGGCATAAAACGGACTCACACAAAAAACTTGGAGGATCTGGACTTCGCCGATGATATATGTCTGATTTCTCACAAACTGGAAGATATGCAAGTGAAAAGCAACAAGTTGGCGATAGAAGAAGCATCAATGATAGGACTTCACTTCAGGCGAACATAGAGAAGACAGAGGTGATGAAGATTCCCGGCCAACAGCAACAACAACAACAAACAACAGTCAGCATAAATGGGAGGAACCTGAAAGAAACAACCTCCTTCACCTACCTACGTACCTGGGAAGCATCGTTTCAACTACAGGCGGATGGAATTGACGAGGATATCAAAGCAGCGAGGATTGTGAAAGCAAGGCAAGCTTCCATAACTCTCAAGTCTGTGTGGAGGTCAACAGCACTCAGCATAAAAAATAAGATCCGAATTTCGAACTCCAATGTGAAGTCAGTGCTACTTTACGGGTCAAAGACTTGGCGCGTCATGAAAAGCACCTCAAACAAACTACAAACCTTCAATAACAGCCGGCCAGAAAAGATCAGCAACAGGGGTCTCTGTCAATGAGCGAACCAACCAGGAACCGATTACGCAACAAATAAGCAGGAAGAAATGGAGATGAATTGGCCATACTCTGAAGAAACCATCAAGTGACATCACTAGACAAGCGGCGAGTTGGTCGTGCAAGGGTGACTTGGAGGAGCCAGGTGAAAACGTTAGCAGAGAACCGAACGCAATGGAGACGTGCGGCTGAAGCCCTATGTTCCTCTAGGAATTAAAGGAAATAGTAATAATAATAATAATACAAAATGAAATGAAATGTGATTAGTGTATAAAGCTGATAATATTTAAAAAAAAAAGAGCAGGCGTATTATTTTTTTGTGTTAAAAAAGTCATATAAATGAATAAATAACGCCAAGGAAGTACCATATTGATTCATTGAATCACTAGAGTATACCACTGAAAACATAATTGGTTAATTAAAAATATGAATATTTTCAAATTACACTGAGCTTTAGGTCTGGATTCATTCGTTTATTAATATTTTTTTATTGTTATTGTTGAAAAAAATGTTATAATTTCAATGAGAGTGAACGTGTATAAGTATTGGTATAGAAGTCAATTTTCGTATTTATGTGTATACTATGTATACACATATGTATATATACACATTGATCATTGAACACAACAGTTGTTTGAATAAATATCTGAATTATTTCCTTTCAAATTCGCCAATCTGTTCAATAGCTGATTAATTATTATTGTCTATTTTATAAATATCACAAAGACAATAATCAATATTCTCAGAATATCAATCAATAAATATCATTATCCACTGTGTGCAGATGTGGTTGACAAGATTTTAAATTATCTACAATTTACAACTTCACTCTTTATAAATAGAATGAATGGCAATTAAAATGCATTTTGAAATTTAGTCTGTCTTTTATTTATTATTTTACAAAGTTAATCTCTCTATTTTATGGAATATACATTTATGCGTGTTGCAGTCATGATGTGGACGTTTATGAAAGAAAACACATGAATATTGTAAATTATGCAAACAATGTCTGATAAAACTTTAATCGCAAATTTAAAACTAATGTCCAACAGGTAATTAAAAAGAATTCAAATATTTATAATAATAATAATAATTATTTTTTCTTTAAATATTAAAGTGGTTTATTCACTTTATCAAAAGAATCAGTTAATGAATTTTTATCTGGTGCTGTTGGAGGTGAGTAGTGTTCAGTTAATTATAATAAACTTATTGATTTTCTTTTCAATCAATCAATCCATCAATAATAATAATAATAATAATAAAGTATAATTATATTTCAATAGTTTACACACAATGATAAGTTTTGTTATTGGTAATATTTCGAGCAAAATTACTCCCCGTGTTCACACCACTGTTGGAATTGTTTGATTCACACATTTATGATTTGTACTCATATATATAGTTCATTTTTTTCATTCATGTTCTTTTGTATTTAAGTTATATTCCACGTTCATTCATTCAGAATTATATTCCAAGTTGTTGATAGTTGTACTGAGTCACCCTTGTTACATGTATCTGGTGTGACTTTAATGAATATCGGTTCTGTTATACGTCTCCCTTTCCATTTCTTCATGTTAGTTTTTAGAATACACACATTGTCCCAATCGATATTGTGGTTTTCGTCCCATGCATGTGCAGCTATCGCTGAATTTTTTCAAGATTCTTGTAGGCTTGTGTTCCTGTTGGTTGACCTTTGGTTAGGCAGGTGTTTATGTTCATTCACTCTTATTTTGAGTGATCTGAACGTTTGCCCCACATATTTAGTAGGACAGTCAGCACAAGATATTTTGTAAATCAAGTTGTTTTTAACCATCATTTTTATGGGATGTTTCAATTGATTTATTTTATTTTTGATTAGATTTGTCGGTTTAAAAGTTGTGTGAATGCCGATATTTTTGAGGTTTCTTTGAATTGCCTCTGATGTACCATTTTTATATGGTATTGTGACTGTCTTTTTGCATTCTTCCATCTTGTTGTTCTCCGGTTTTACCCTCTTTTTTCTCTTTTTTATATTATCTTTTATAAATTCTTTTGGGTAGTTGTTTTCGAGTAGCATTTTGAATAGGACGTTTATAATAATTAAACAGTTTTCAAAATGTTATTTTGTTAAAATTCAAATCTACATCAGTCAATGATTTCATTTTGCTACCGCCTACTTCATTGCTTTGGTGATGAAAATTTGAATTTCTGTGGTAGGAATAAGGTATCTTTAATGTCTTAGTTATGTTATGCCAGTAATAAAAGGGGTTGACTCAAAGTATACCTTCATCACTCTGAATTCAGTTTCGAAATCTACTACACTAACTCAGTACAAAAAAAAAATTTAGATTTTTAGCACCATTGTTAAGTGTGCCAGTTGTTATATGTGGCTCAGAAACTTGGCGTTCGCATCAACGAAAGCATGCTCTAACAGGCTGTTGCAGACTTTTATCAACCAACAGCTGCCTTCACTGGCTTCATAGTGAAGATCAAATGGCTGACCAGTTAGAATTAGCAACAAAAACTCTGAGGATAAACCAGCCAAGAGCCTACTGCCCAGCAAACACATGTAAGAAAAAATGGAGATGGATCGGACACACGTTGATGAGGCCGTCGAATGATACCGCGGCGCGTCAGGCCACCACTCGAGTGGAATCCAAGTGGAAAACGACGAGTGGGGCGTTGGTCTGACGGTGATATGGGAGGAGGAGGAGATGAGAGAAAATGAGCAGCTGTGGAACTGGCTTAAGAGGATCGCAGAGAATAGGATAAAATAGAGATGTGGTGCTGAAGCCCTATGCTCGACTCGGAACCCAAGGGAAAAAATAAATAATAATAATAATACTCAAAGCGTTTCCCACTAAGCACAGTATAATGTGGTGTTGTTGGTCACGTATGGTAAAGTTATTATCCCTTCTTAAGAATCTGAAGACTGTTATCAGTATTCCTTTGGGTTCCAAGTGGAAAATGGAGAATCAGAAGCATATTTCCATTTCAGTCTGTTCACTGCAGTCTTTTTTTAGCTGGCTTTACTATTGTCCATCAGCTTTCATTTCGTCGTCAAATGATCTCCTTCATGTCACTCTCAGAACCATGCCCCCAACTCGTCGTTATCCATTTAGAATGGTTGACCTAAATACATGATGACGTATACTACTACTACTAACTGAAATGAGTAGATGGTTAATCCAATACTGAATAAATTAGAATAATACAGTCTAAAGTGAATGGAAACAGTGAGATTTCTTTCATTTGTTCGGCTGACATCACTTCATTATGAAAATCGCGTTGTAAAGGAAACCTTTATATTCAATATCCAATTTCGAACAATAGTCAGTTTCTGAAAACTTCTCTTTAGTGACATAATAATAATAATTGTTAGTTCAAGTATGGAAATAATTTAAAGTCAGATCTCATCACATCTTCAATCTTCGCCTACCCTGGACTACTTGACCTATATAAATATGATTGGTCATTAGTATGTACTTTTGTTTTTATTTAACTGAGTAATTGTCATGAACTTTATTTTATTATTGTTAACCATGTTAGTTGTAAAGCGGTTGTAAAGAAACTACGAAATGATATCATCTCGCGAAATTTGTCTTCTTAATGCCTTATTCAAACATCTTATGTTACCCATTAACCGACATTTTCAATGAATCTTTTTCCAAAAGTATTATTCCTGACTCATGGAAAAATATCAAGGTTGTCCCGGTGCCTAAATCAACGAGTGGACCTACTGTTAAATTTTGATCGATTGCTATTACCTCACCCTTTTTAAAAGTTATGGAAAGACTTATTTTACTTAATCTTGAACCCTCTTTAAAGCCTTTCAATGACCCCAACCAGTTTGCTTATAAACATAGTAGGTGTACCTTAGATGCCGCTGTTGTTCTATATCATAATATAGTCTCTAGTTTAGATAGAGGAGCCAAATATGTTCGGTGTGCCTTCCTTGATTACACATCTGCATTTGACTCTGTACCTAGGTCTCTCTTGCTAAGTAAGCTTACTGCAACACAGGCTAAGAGCTGGACAAATAAGTGGTTGCATTCCTATTTTTCTGATAGGAAGCAGTACACCGTCTACAATGGAAAGTCCTCCACTACCTCACTTACTTTAGCTGGTGTTCCTCAAGGTGCTGTTCTTTCTCCTTTTCTGTTTTCTTTTTTCTTACATGACTTGCCCCATTCTGATGTAGCCACTTTTGTCAAGTATGCTGATGACCTCTCTGTCTCCATGCCTGTCAACTCTCAGTCAGATTGTTCCAAATTCAATAACTTTCTGTCGGAAATTAGTCAGTGGTCCTCTTCAAACGGTCTTAAGCTGAATCCGTCTAAATGTCAGGTAGTAAATTTCACATTCAGACGAAAACGTGACCTACAACAACTAGCTAGCTCACATGGTCCCACTATCATTGACGGCATAGAGGTTGAAATTACATCTAATGTCAAGTACCTTGGACTAAGTATTTCCTCCGATCTTTCCTGGTCCTCTTACATCTTGCTAGTTACTAGAAAGATGTTTCGCTTAACGTTCTACGTTAGGAAGTTAAGGCAGTCTGGTATAAAGCAGTCTTTGCTTTCTCAGTTTGTCAACTCTTGTATTCTAACCATCCCTCTTTACTGCTCCCCATTAATCTTTCCTGGACTACTTAAGAAAGATTTTGCTTTGCTGAGAAGGGCACTAAAAGCTGTTAGTAGGGGAAGTGGGATATCGTTAAACCAACTGGTTAACACCATTGTGGATAGACATATAATGTCATGTAAGAAACTAGCGAATTCTATATTGTCAGACCCCGAACACCCTCTCTATACGCAGCTCTCTCCTTGCATTTCATCTGGTAGAACTAGAAGCAACTATAGGAGGCTATATGCCAGGACTACCAAGTACAAAAACTCCACAATACCTTATCTGGCACAGCTGTTATGTGATGAGAAAACTGTTAGGTATGACACGATCAACTTACTGCGGCACTCTAACAAATAGTTCCCATTAGCTTTTGTTCTCCTTTCTTTGTTACTATTATATTGTTGCTCACATATTCTATTACACACTAATTTTATATTTCATATCCTGTGGTGCATTGTTTAAATATGTGAATGCAATGCTGTTCTTTTTTATTTCTTTTATTTATCTTTTTTTCTTGTTGTTGTTGCTTTTTATTTTTAAAATCTTATAAAATTTACGAGATAATTAGATGCAATATTGTAATGCACGCTGAAAATTCCATACCTGTACCACAAATACTGTTTGGAATAAAGCTATTATTATTAAAATTATTAAATTATTAAATATCGACATCAGTTAGAGAATTATTGAAAAGCAGGAGAGTACTTGGAAGGTGATTCATCCAAAGTTGGGAGAACTTCAACAGTATGCAGCCAGACCTTCATGTTATTAGATCACCACGTTGTTATCATTCAGCCACTGGTGTGGTTTTTGATGGAATCTAACTTCAAATCAATTAATCCCTACAAATCAACATCTAAAAATAATTTAGTATCATGTCTACCATATAGAGCAATCAAATGTTTTTTTTACTGAACTGTTCAAAATTTTTCAGTATTCAAGATGAAGATGTGTAAAGAAAATAATTTTTGATGACTTAACAATATTAAGTCTTAGTGATAAGTGAAAATATTTCTTTCCTATTGGTGAATTTAAAACCAGCAACAACTATCAAAAAAGGTGGTAGTTAATGTATCCATAAATTTCGGTCGGACTCTCCCACAACATTCTACAAACACTGTTATTTATTTTTCAAGAACTGATTTGTTTTTTGAGTTAAACCACGGATTGCTATCATTTAGAGAACCATTGAAAATCAGGGAGTGCGGGACAGCTATTTCGTCCTATTTCGGGACTCTTCGGCAGTACGCACCAACTGAGAGGCGTTCGAACCCAGGACCTTCCGGTTACAAGGCATCCCAGCAGCTCGTATACCATTCAGCCACTGGGACCCGATTCAATGGCTAGCCCATGCATTCTAAATTCCACCAACCAATATCATCGGCGGGAAATCCATCCTCACTCACAACTGGATGGACCGCACTGGTCAAGACTTCTCACTAGACCTCCAGGAAACTCTGTCCTGTAGCAAGTCACTAGTGAGCATCAAATTAATTTTCAAGAGTTGATTTGTAAGGATTTGATTTGGTTTTCGAGTTAGACAATTTCATTTAAAGGTTAAATACACACAAACATATGAACATTGTGACAACAACAAATAACTCAATTTCCTGGAGGTCTAGTGAGAAGTCTTGACCAGTGTGGTCCATCCATTTGTGAGCGAGGATGGATTTCTCGCAGATGATATTGGCTGGTGGTCACGCTAAATATCACAAATTGGTAGAATTTAGAATTCATGGAGGAGAAAGTGGAGATAGATTGGACACTCGCTGAGGAGGCCGTTGGGTGACATCGCGTGTCAGGCCAGTGCTCGAGTGGAACCCGAAAGGGAAGCGGCGAGTGGGACGTCCAAGGGTGACATGGAGGAGATCGTGTGAAGAAGAGTTGAAACAGTATGGACTAACATGGATGAAAATGAAAAGTACAGCTGAAGACAGGAGCAAGTGGAGACGTGCAGTTGAAGCCCTATGTTCCACTAGGAACCCAAGGGAACAATAATAATAACAGAATGTATGGGCTAGCCATTGAATCGGGTCCCAGTGGCTGAATGATATACGAGCTTGCCTTGTAACTGGAAGGTCCTGGGTTCGAACCCCTCCCGGTGGGTGCGTACCGCCGATGATTCCCAAACTAGGCTGATGAAAAAGTTCGCTGTCCAGTACTCCCCCCAGCGGGTTTTCAATGGTTCTCTAACTGATATCAATCCATTATCAACTCGTAAAAGCAGAACTAATCCTTACAAACCAACTATAGAAAATAATATTAAAATACAAAGAACCTTCGTAAAAAACAATTAAATAAATTTAACACATGTGCAAACCAAATAGAATTAAATAACAAGATTTTAACATGTCTGATCCAACTAAACGCATAAGATAGCTTGAATACTCTTCACCAAGACCGATGCACAGCTATGATTTTTCTCTTGGCTAATATCCTCAACTAAAAACTCACACAATATTAGATAAAATAATGATGATGATAATAATAATGGGAAGAACACTGTAAAGAGAGAGGGGTGAAGGGAAGGAAAATTATAAAGGTCAAATAAAAGTATGCCACCAAGGTAGATTTAATCTACTAACTAACTAACCTCATCAACAGCTGTTTCCGCTCATTACTCAAGATCAGATGGCCGGCCAGAAAAGATCAGCAGCAGGGATTTTCTTATTCCCCATCTGATTGTATTTGATCAATAACACTCATATTATTATTTCTGAATGTACATTATCCTATATTGATGTTTATTCAAATGTCTAATCATCAATTCCACTCGTGTATATAAATGAAGCAAGACAGTTAGTTGTGTGAGTGAGTGACTTGATATGATTATGAGTGGCAATAGTTTGTGCTCGGAACGTGGTCGCATCAGTTAATATTACTTACTGTATAACACCACTGTGTGATTTATCAAAACAAAATTATTTTCATTTATCTTTATTAATTACTACTATTATTATCTGTTTAAACAATTAATTATTATCATTATTTATTTTCATTATTCACCTATCATATACATAATTAATATTTTAAAGGATTAGCCGGTTTAACAGTTGGTCATCCAATGGATACTGTAAAAGTATTAATGCAAAATTCTTCAGGAAATCCAACTTTTCGAGAAATTGCCTGTCGGATTAATCAAACCGGCCTAGTAAGTCAAACTGAAAAAAATATTCTGACGTTTTTTTGTTGTTGTGTTTTTCGTTTTTATAAATGAGTGTGCGTAGGTGGCACAATGGCACAGAATGCTTATCAACCACGCCTTCACTTGGTCTGGGGTTCGATCCCTGGCCACCTACGCACTCCTTTGCCTTGCCAAGCGAGTAAGTAATAAGACTGGTAAAGAGGGAAGGTTGGGCATGAGTCAGGTAACCCCATCCTGTAAAAATGATCACCACTTCTACTGAAACTTCAGGACTCTAGCTTGAAGCCATCCTATGTTCCAATGTGAGCGTAAAGGGATAAAATAAAGTATAAAATAATATAAATGAGTGCTGAGTTTATTTTTGTTTTTAATTTGTTGTTGAGTTCTTGGATCACATTTAGCCTAAAATAATGATCAAGAATTGTAGATGTTAGTGAACTAACTAACTGACTAACTCAAGTGTTGGTTTGTAGGGATTTTGTTGGCTACAGGATTTTCATCATGAGCTGGCATTAGTTAGAGAACCACTGGAAAACCCGAGAGTACTGCAGAGCTGTTTCGTCCTAGTTTGGGACTCTTCAACAGTACGCACCCACCGGGATTCGAACCCAGGTTTTCCAATGGTTCTCTAACTAATGTCAGCTCATGATGAAAATCCTGTAACCAATCAAATCCCTGCAAACCAACACTTGAATATCAATGACATGCTCACTAGCGACTTGCCCTATTCAGGTAGGTAGTTACCTGGGGTTCTAGTGAGACGTCGTGACCAGTAAGGTGCAGCAGGTCGGGTGGGAGAACAAACACCGAAGACATTGGCTAGTGGTCGCGCTATGTCGTGAATTGGCAGAAGTTAGAATTCATGGGCTGGCCATTGGATCGGGTCCCAGTGGCTTAATGGTGGGTGCGTACTGCTGAAGAGCCCCGAACTAGGACGAAACAGCTGTCCAGTACTCCCATTTGGTTTTCCAATGGTTCTCTAATTAATGTCAGCTCATGATGAAAATGCTGTAACTGACTAACTAACTAACTAACTAGTAAACTCGTATATTACGTGTCACATGTACACAGAGAGTTTGAAATATATATAATTATTATAACTGAGCATTACTTACTCTGTAACTGTGTGTTAACGATATATATATAAGTTTATTGAATATAATATTCAATGATACGATATCAGTAACTGGATGATTTTTTTCTAGCATGATTCATTGCTCATAACCAAAAGTGTTATGCAGTCACATGACTTCCTAAATTGTATTAATATCGTTCTACTTCCTCATGCCTTTTATTAAAACAAATTTCCGTATATCCTAGGATAATAATAATAATAATCTTTTTCATCATTTCTATCATATGTGCAAGTTATTGATTTAATGAACTAAGATATAGTGAATAACGTCTACTTCTCAATCTATAATTATATTGTTGTTCAATAGCATTTACTTTATCCTATTGAATTGTATGTGTGCGTGTGTGACTGTATAGAAGTGTACGTATGCATAACTACTTTGTTGAGAGCTACTTACTGGAAAGTATTGTAACGACAGAAGACAAAGGTCAAACAACAGATCGTTTATTGAGGAAATCAAGAGATATTTATAGATTTTTTTATGTACATTATTATTCGTTATTATTAGCAGCGGAACAGCGTCTTCTAATTGGTTGTTTTCTCACTGGAAGTTATTCTGTCCTCTCCTTGTGGTCATTTTTTGAAGGTCAGACCATATATCTGCTAATCGTATCTCCGCCCACGCTAAGTCTGCTGTGATTGGTTGTTGAATTAGTCTTTGTTCTTGTTTTTTTTCTGATGACCAAGATTTGAGAAGTAAACATTGATGTATGTTGCTGCCTATCAATTTTGGCCAGCAGACAGCTCTCACCACAGCATACATGTCTGGTCACTTACTCATATATATATCTACTCTCCACTTCTAGACCTCTTGGAGATCTCTATTCATAAAGGCTGAGTAACATATGTATGTGATAATTTTAAGCTGTTTAGCATAATACACTTTCTATGTACTAGATATAAACACTTTCAATTTCTTATGGTCTAATCAGATAGATTTTTCTCGTCTCAGAAGCATATGTATCCAGTTGAATAGCTATTTGATTGCGACAATGAACGGGAATCTTTTTATTTTCCTTCCTAATCGGTGCATTAGATATAAGTATAAAACTTGGGCACTGTGGTAGAGCATAACTCCATTATGGATAAGATTTTATTTTGAAAAATCACACAGTGTTGTACAGTAATATTAACTGATGACGTTCCGAGTATAAACTATTGCTCATAATCATATCAATTTGATACTGATGAGTCTCGTACTAGGGCAAAACAACTGTGCAGGACTTCCTAGTGATTTCCAATGACTCTCTCTCTCTGATATCAGTCTGTGGTCAAAATTGAAACAATGCCATGATAAAAATGCCCATTAAAATTTTTCAAAAGAATGGTTACTGAACAAAGAATATTCTTTTCGATAACTTCATCATCACGTCCTCCAGTTATATGTATACATAAAACTTTTTATAAGCTGTATCTGCTTCTACTGTGCTCTTGGTTCACTAACTTAAGTAACGTATTCCATAAAAGGCGTCGTAAGATCTTTTGGAAGTTCATCTACCGCATATTGCCTGAAGGAGATATTCATTTCATTCTCTTGTATATATATGTAGGTAAAGAGTCCATTTGGTTCAATACATATATCGTTTCAGCGTCTTCTTATTGGGATGAACTCTGCTTCGAAGGTACAGACTTGTAATCAACATTAGGATAGTGATTTGATTCGATGCAATTGTTAATGAAGTCTAACGTAGCCTTTCTTTCATGGAGCTTAGAGTTAGTAAACGTAGAGCACAGTAGAAGCAGATAGAGCTTATGAAAAGATTGTGTATACATATAATTGTAGAACGTGATGATAGAGTTATCGAAAAGAGTATTCTTTGTTCAGTAACCATTCTTTTCAAGAAAAAATTTCCATGATAATTTGCTTATTGGATATATTACATAGTAAAACAGTATGTCAAAGGGGTAAGCAAGGTGAAAGCCAAAGACTGTGTAATCAAATGAGAGAATAAAGACATTCAGTTACTAGGGTGGCAAGGAAAGACTGGTAACTGCTTCTTTCTGAACACATAAATCTGGTTTCAAGCGTTTGATAGAAATTGCTTCGGCAAACTTGAGTAGAATCGAGCTCCTTTGTCTATTGGTAATTTTAAAGTATTTCGCGAGTTCTACCTCATGACCCGAATCGAGGAGATGTCTGGTAATAGTGTAACAACAGAAGGCAAGTGTCAGGCAACAGATCATTTATTAAGGAAATCAACTCATTTTTATATATTTTCATGTACATTACTATGGATATTTAAACAAACAAACACAGTCTTCCGACTGGTTGTTTCTCACGTAAAGTTAATCTTTCATCTATTTGTGACTGTTTCTTGAATGTCAAATCCTCTATATGTTAACTGCATCCGCCTACGCAAAGTCTGCTGTGGTCGGTTTTGAATCAATCTTTGTTCACATTTTCTCACGACAAATCTTGGGAACGTAAATATTGACGTAAATTACTGTCTACCAATTTGGCTAGTAGACAGCTCTCACCAGAATAGCGCTATTATAAGAGTTTGTTCCCTTGAGACGTAGGCTTTTCGGCACATGTTCAGGAAATCTGAGGTGTGCCCTTATTTCTGTCCCGCAGATACCCGTAAATTTGTATACACAGTTGGGGATAACATGGATTAACATTTTATTACGTAATCTTTGGCTTCAACCTCACCTCCGCTTTGATACATTGTAAGTTTGCTTTTCTCTTGTTTCTATGATTTGAGTTGAACTCAGTACATTGTTACCTAATTTATCAGTCACTCAGCATCTCATGCATCTCTCGTCTTTATTACGTAACTCCTTTGCCACTATATGCATACATTTATTTTGTTTAAACTTGAACTGCCTGTGTAAAAACTATATAAACGTAATTTTCTGAGCACTGTTTACCAATTGCAAAACCTTCTGTCAACTGAAATCGTGAAAAAAAATTTGCAAGAATGTTAAAACTTTTGTGTACATTAACTTAATAATAATAATTTCTTTAGGCTGTAAGCGGCAGCTGATGAGAAGCCAACGAAATAAACAATGATGGTAACATATTATTCAGCACAAACCACTATGTTGTTCTTGCTTTATTCACAATTCCTCAACGGGGAATAAATGCGCAAAGTTTTTGAAAATTCGTCTCCCTTCAGAATCATTTGAAGAGATTGAATGCTTTTCATTTCAGATTCACATTAGCTAGATAGAATATTGCTCAGAATTAGTCAATTATTGGAATATAAGAATTTAGCTAAGTGTAGAATCACTGACCCCCATAAAAATGGTTATCCTAGTGGAAAACTTAGCAATCGCAATCCATGCACTAACATACAATCAGGTAATACGGTAGGACTGATCTACAGTTATAAAAAGTGGTATATTTAGGTGGAGGAAGACGCTGATCACTGAATTTTTGTTCATCGTATCCACAGGAAACACTTACAATACTAGTGACGCAAAACGAATGCCAGAGATATTCAAGTGTTGGTTTGTAGAGATTTGATTGGTTACAGGATTTCATCATGAGCTAACATTCGTTAGAGAACCACTGGAAAACCAACTGGGAGTACTGGACAGCCGTTTCATCACACTAGTTTGGGACTCTTCATCAGTATGCACCCACCACCAGGGTTCGAACCCAGGGCCTTCTGGTTACAAGGCTAGCGAGCTCGTAGACCATTGAGCCACTGGGATCCGATCCAATGGCCAGCCCGTGAGTTCTAACTTCTGCCAATTCACAACATAGCGCGACCACTAGCCAGTGTCTTCGGCGAGTATCTGTCCTCACACCCGACCTGCTGCACCCTACTGGTCACGACTTCTCACTAGAGATATTGAAGTCAAAGGATGAGAGATAATGGAATTACACACAGAATAATTCTGAAAGTTGTTATGTAAGCCCAAC